GTTGTGCATTTCTAAGAATTTGTCCATTTCTTCCAGGTTGTCCATTTTATTGGCACATAGCTGCTTGTAGTAACCTCTCATGATCCTTTGTATTTCTGCAGTGTTTAGTTGTTACTTCTCCTTTTTCATTTCTAATTCTATTGATTTGAGTCTTCTCCTCTAGTATTCATTTTGTGTCCTTTTCTTTTGTTTGTTTTTTAACCCTGAGCAACTGTTATCATTCTGGTTAAGAAAACAAGAAGGAAAAGCCAGGTTCAGAAGAGAACAGCAAGGGTGGTCCCCATGAACTGCTGTTCCGCTTAGACTTAGCTGTCCTGATTCCCAACCTACTGGGTTGCAGGAAGAGAGTTCCTCTTGCAGTGACTTCTGATTTCAGCTGTGTCCCAGTAAGAGAAATCACAGGGCCTTTGTGCTCCTGTGGAAAGGAAAAACTGATTGGTTAAAAAAAAAAAAAAAAGGATTTGTTTTAAATTAAGGCATAGCACACACACAGTATACGTCCCAAATCTGCAGTGCACGATGGGGGAGGTTTCACACCCACCCACGTAGCCGATCATCCAGATCGAGACACGGGTCCTTTCCAGGCCTCGAGGGGGGAGGGGTCTCATGCTCCTTCCCGGTTGCTAAGCCCCCCACCCCTTTTGCGTGTCCTTGAATGTCACATAAATGGCATCACACAGAGTGCGCTCTTGTGTCTCCAGCTTGATTCATCCATGTGTGTCGCAGTCACTGGCGTTTGTTCCTTGCTGTATAGCGTTGCACTGTGAGCGTTTACCACAGTCTGTGTATCCACCCGATCGCTGATGCACGTGCGCGCGTGTGCAGTTTGGGGCTATCGCGAGAGCTGCCGTGAACACTCCCGGAGAAGTCTTGGTGGCGATGACCCACTTTTTTTTAATCTGAGGGCAAACAGAAACCTTGTGCCAGCATTACTGGAGGTTTAGCCAATGGTTAGCTCAGTGGAAGAATGCTGATACGAAGTAAAACTGCGTTTTATTGACATTCCTGCTCCGTTCCCTGCCTCTGAGTAAGGATTCGGTCATTCACTGAACTTTTCTAAGAAGAAATGGCCTTTTTAAAAAGGGATTCGAGTGTAGCCGGTTCGGGGAGGTGTGGGGGAGTGTGCGGTTGAATAATAATGATACCTTAAACTTCTCTCCGAGTCTCCTGGCTTCAGTTCTCAGATGCTTTTCAAAATCAACTTGTGAAGCTCCGTGGCGCCTGGGGAGCTGAGGCCACAGCCATGCCGGTTTGCGGGTGGGAGGCAGAGACGCATGGAGATTTCCAGTTCCTTTGGGAGTTCTCCATCCTCAAAAATCGTGTCTTCTGGACTCTTAGAGGAGGTTCTTTCTCGGGGCCCTGGAGACGCAGGCGTTCTGAGTTTGGGGAGGTTTTAGGCTGTAAAGGAAAGTGGCCCTAGGAAGGAGAGGGTGGTTTCCTATAACTGCTCCGAGCAGGGGAGACCACCCGACTACAGCAGAGCAGAGGGCTGTCCCCAAGGAATGGGTCAATCTTCTGCCCCCTCAGTTTTGTACAGAAATTCTGTGTAATGCTGTATCTTTCTTAACTGATTTAAAAATCTGCTTTTGAAACCCAACCATTTATGTCTACCTGGGCCCAAGAGGCTCCCCTGCCCTAAACTGACGACCATCCTTCGTCCTTCCACCCACCGGCCGCCCCCGGCCTCTCCGGGCCCCTGGCCTCCTCCTCCACCCGCCTGGTCCTGCCTCCACGCAGGCACCAGAACCACCTTGTCCGTGCAGAGATGCTTCTGTAGCGGTTGTCTCCTTTTTCTCCAGTATCATCAACTTTTTTCCTTCTCTCCAAGGATCATTCCGACCAGAGTACAAATATGCTGCAGTTCCCCCCATCTTTAAAGAAAAAACCCAAACCTGCCTTGTTTTCATATTCCCTTGTAGCTGTCACTGCCTTGCTGTGTACCCCTCTTCCGTTAGTCTGTCAGGGCTGCTGTAACAGAGTACTGCAGACCGGGGAGCGGCGGGGGGGAGGGGGGGTTAAACAATTGAAGTTTATTCTCCCAGTTCTGGAGGCTGGAAGTCCCGAGATCAAGGTGTGGGCAGGGCTGGTGTCCCCTGAGGCTTCTCTCCTTGGCTTGTAGGTGGCCGCCTTCTAGCTGTGTCCTCACGTGGTCAGCCCTCTGTGTGCATGCACCCCTGCACCCCTGGTGTCTCCCTGTGTATCCAACCTCCTCTTCTTACAAGGACACCAGCCCCCCTGGATTAGGGCTCACCCTAACGGTCTCACATTAACTCAGTCACTCCTTAAAGGCTTTGTCTCCAACTACAGGTAGTGGGGCTAGGGCTTCAGCATATGAATTTGGGGGGATGCAACTCAGCCATCACACCTTTACAGACGGTCTCTTTGAAAGTGTTGTCTACACTGTCTGTCCCCATTTCCTGTCCCCGCATTCTGTCCTGGACCCACTTCAGTCAGACTTCTGCCCCCGGAGTCCCCAAGTCCAGGTCCACTCTTAGCCCTCGGGGGCATTAGCTCAGTCTATCTACCTCTCCTCCTCGGAATGTGGCGTGGGTTCCCTCTCTTGGTTTCTCCCGCCTTCCCAGCCACTCCTTCCTAGTCTCTCTTTTCTGATTCTTCTGTGTCCCCTGACCTCTGAGGTCAAAGGGCCTCGGCCTCTTCTCCCTCTGCACTCCTTCCTGGATGGTCTCATCTAGTCTCACGGCCTCAAAGCCGTCTCTCTACTCATGACTCCCAAGTTTATACCTCCTGCCAGGCCTCCCCTCCTGAACTGTGCACTTCAGTAGCCAATGGTCTTGACTGCCTAGACATGGAGTTGATCCAAAACCAAACTTCTGATTTTCTCATCCCTAAGTCCTCGCTTCCATCCTGCCAGGTGCTCAGGCTTTGAAACCTTGGGATGGTCTGTGATTCCTCTCTTAGAAATAGGGATGTGTCCACTTGCTCAGCACAGAAAACCCAAGTGTTCTGGCTCCGTCACAGAGGATGTCACTCCCATGCCTCGTTAGTGCATCTTTCAGGGGACTTGTACCCCTAACAGATGGGGCACAGCATGACGTGCTGGAGAGAACCCGGGGCTCGGAAGGCAGGGGTGAGATTCGGGTTCTGGGTCACTAACCCATTGGGCTGTCTTGGCCAAGTCCTTTCTCTGCTCTGGGCTCAGTCTCCTCGTATGTGAAGTGAGGCAGGAGACGGGGCCGGGGATGGCAAATGGGTGTCACCTTGAGGGCCAGCTCCGCGGAAGAGAGTTCTGTGATCGATTTCCCATGTCTGCTGTGGGTGTGAAACTGACAGTTGGAGCCCGGGTGCCCCCCATTAGTCACCCCTGCCCTGGCGCCTCACCACCAAGAACCCTTCAAGCTTTAAAAATCTGTGCTCGCGCCCCGACCTTGAGCAAATCACTTCACTGTCCCAAGATTTTGTTTCTTCACAAGCGAGGTGGAGATAAATAATCCCTGACTTCCTACCACACAAAATTGCTCTGAGGAGCGTGTGAGATAGTGGGTGAAAAATTGCTTGGAAAATAGCAGGACATTATATAAATGCAAGGTTTCATTGTTACTAACTGACCTCCCTGGTCATGATTTGTGTTACTCATGCCTTCCTCTGAGCCGTCTTCTAGGGCTGGGCAAGAAGCCTTTGCTTTCGTTTTTGCCCCTGCCCCCCACCTCGGGCAAGACAGTGCCATTTGGATTTCCTGGTGATGATGAGAAAGGGGATTAGCATGGATGTTGGGTGTGCAGGTGGTCTTTCTGTGCTTGGAAGATTTCAGCATCTTTCACAGCCCCCGGGGCAGGTGAAACCAGGAAGCCTTCTCCAGAGCCTTTCAGCTACTCAGCACCATCTTACCCTCCCACCATCACCCCACCCCCTTGTGACACTTCTGCACAACAGGTGGGGAAAAAATCTTCCCAAAGTAAATTTTTGTCTCCCTCCGGGGTTCATCTGTATTATCCAAATGTCTGGAATTACATTAATTCTCCGGTTGGGCAGTTGGGAGCGGTGGGTCTCCTCCCCTGAGCGCTACTGAGCACAGCTCTGGCTAATTTCTGGAGCAGGCACCTGCCCTGCAGCCTGTGGGAATCCAGGGGAGATACCCAGATAGAGCTATTTTTGTTACCTGATGAAAAAAGCATCCCTTCCCTCCATCTACAATTCTCCCCTCTTTCACCTTGAATGTTGTTAATGCCCCGTCTTTTCTGCCAAAATCCCAAAGAGAGTCTGTTTGCAGCTTCCTGTGTGCATAAACTTTTCCCAGAGACCCAGGGGAGCTATCTGTCCTTACATTATTTGGTGTAAGCAAAGCTTTGGGGCATTTCTTACTGCCAGTGATGTATTCTGAGTTGGTTTCTTTGCTCAGGCTCTTACTTATTGGCGAGTGCGTCTCATTTCCTTCTTCCCTCCCGCATGCAGCCTTTGTCGTGAACAGTGTTCGGCGCGGTGTGAAACGAGAAGCATTGAGAACTCTTCCAAGACATAAAGGTTTGATTTTGTTTTTCTTTTTTCGTTTTTAAGTGTTAGAAGAATAAAGGACTTGAGTTTCCTGTAGGACGGGAAACAGTGAATCAGATTTTTGTTTTGCTTAAAACCTGAAAATCGCAGGCAGCAGCTGAGGGTCTCTGGACAGAGCTGAGTGCTGTGTTTGGGGGTTTAGGGTGATGTCCCTTCCCCATGGGCCATTCTACGGGAGAGGCGGTGGCCACCCGCGGAGACTGATTTGAGAGGGACCAGAAAGGCTACCTGAGTCACAGAGCTGCCCGAGACAGAGTGGGCACTGACACTTCCTGCTCTGCCTTTTCTGCTCCGTGAGGCGTTTCAGTGATTCAGTGCCTGGTGTTATCCGCAGACTGATGGGTGCAATGAGCGTGAGCTCTCCCTCTCCCAGCAGGCGACCTTGGACAAGTCTCTGAAGTCATTGGTGAAATGGGGATAAGACAGCACTCCTTCCCACAGGAAGTTAGATGAGATACCACCTCCCAAGTGCCATGAGGCAGGCAAGACATCCAGGGAGGCACGGCTGGGACAGGTGTGCGCTCGTGATACAGGTGTGCCATGCTCGTTAGCAGGATGCCCTGGAGAAAGTTCAGAAGGGCCCCTGACAAACCTATAATCTAGCATGAGCCGTTTGTTACATCCCTTGCCTGATCCCCGTTCGTTAACATCCATTACTACCATTATCCTTTTATTCATCCCTTAACGAGTACCCAGTGCCTGCCACTCCCGGGCACTCCGCTAGGTGCCAGGGATAAAAAGATGTAAGGGCGGGGTCCTCACCCCAATAAGCCTGTACTCAGGTGAGGAGACAGTCAGTTGCAAGATAAAGGAGGCACGCATTGAAGACGGGTGTGAGAGAGAGAGAGGCACCCGGGTCTGCCCAGGGAGACAGAGACCCCCAGGCCCGATAGAAGCTGAAATGAGACTTGGAAATATAACGAAGCTTTTGCCAGGCAGAGACGTGGGAAGGGCCCTCTAAGTAGAGAAACCGCACGTGCCCAGCCATGGAGGTGTGATGAGTGTCAGTGTTGGCAAAAAGACGGGAAGATGTGGGGACGGGGGAGGAGGGGCCACCGAGAGCCCCCGGATGCCTTGCCGAGGGGGCAGGTGCTGTCCTGTGGGCGAGCACCAGATACTGGCGCGACTGAGCCGTGACTGGGCGCCAGGATGGATGTGCAGGTTTGAAAGATCACACACAGCGGTGCAGAGAACAGATGGGAGACTGGGGGCAAGAGGCACGGAGGGCCCCCTCTGATGGGACGTGGGCCAGGATGAGCTGTGTCTTTAAGTAAACTTCGTATGGACGCATAACATTCACGCAGGAGGCGTGCACACATCCTACGTGTGCAGCACGACGGATTTTCGCAAAGTGAACACACGGTGTCCCCAGCACCCAGAGCATGAAACAGAATGGGACCAGCTGAAAAATAATATTTTAATGAAAAACAAGAATGGCTTTTCATAGCGTAGTAATTTTTAGTATAAGTCTGTCCCAAATACTGCACGGGACATTCACGTTCTTCAAAATGCTTGGTTATTCAAGATGCAAATCTGACTGAGCGCCCTGTATTTTATCTGATTACCCTGGATGCATCCACATTGTTGCAGGTGGCAGTAGTTCTTTCATGTTTATATTGCCAGCGAGAGTCTGTTTTATGACTGTTGCACATTTTATCGAGACTACCACTGATGGATAACTGAGTTGTTTCCAATTTGAGGACATTATGAATGAGGCTGCTCTGAGCACTCTTACACTTACCTTTTGGAGACACGGGCTTGTATTTCCACCCAAGAGTGGATTTGCTGGCTCTTAGTGTATGTTTATATTCAGCTCTAATAAATACCACCAAATAGTTTTCCAAGAACGTTGTTGCAAACTACACCCCATCAGCAGTGGAAGAGCATTCCAGTTGCTCCACAGCTTTTCTCACACAGCATTGTCTGTCTCTTCATTTAGCTATTCCAGTGGGTGTGCAGTCAAAACAAAGCATTGTGCAGTTTTAATTTGCGTTTCACTTGTGGCTGAGCCGAGTGCCTTTTCATGTATTGATCGGCCATTTTGGCCGTCCTCCTCTGCGAAGTGTCTGTTAGAGTTCTGCCCACTTTTCTGTTGTCATGTCTTTTTCTTATTCAGTTGGAGTAGTTCTTCATATATGAGGAGTCCTTTGTCAGATAAATGTATTGCAGATATCTTCCTTCAGTTTATAGCTTGCCCTTTCGCTCTCTTATTAGAGTCTGCTGAATAACAGAAGTTTTTAATTTTAATGTAGTCCAGCTCGTGTGGGTTTTTCCATCATGGTTCACTCTTTTTTGAGTCCTGTTTAAGAAAGATATGCCTTATTAGTTTATCCAGTTTCATTACTTTTTTTTTTTTTTTTTTTGCGGTACGCAGGCCTCTCACTGTTGTGGCCTCTCCCGTTGCGGAGCACAGGCTCCGGACGCGCAGGCTCAGCGGCCATGGCTCACGGGCCCAGCCGCTCTGCGGCATGTGGGATCTTCCCGGACCGGGGCACGAACCCACGTCCCCTGCATCGGCAGGCGGACTCTCAACTACTGCGCCACCAGGGAAGACACCATTACATTTTTTAATGTGGCTACTTAAAATTATATGTGTGGTTCAAAAAAACAAAAAAGAAAGAAAGATATGCCTACCCCAAAGTGTGTGTTTCCTCCTAAAAGATTTATTGTTTCATCTTTCGCATTTAGATCCATCTAGAATGGATTTTTCCTTGAATAAAGGATAACGTACGTACAATAAAACACACCCATTTTAAGTACACAGTCCAGTGAATTTTGATAAGAGTATATACACATGTAACCACAACCACAGGCAAGATGTAAAAGATGTCCATCACCCCATAAAGTTGCTTTATGTCCTTCTGCTTCTCAGAGTGTGGTCCATGGACCAGCAGCATCGGCCTCACCTGAGAGCTGGTTAGAAATGCAGACTCTCGGGCCCCACCCCAGGCCAGCTGAATTAGAATCTGCATTTTAACAAAATTCCTAGGTACTTTGTATGCACTTTAAAGTTTAGAGACAATCTGAGTTCTTTTGAAGAAAGGTGACAAGCAAAAAAATGCTTTTTCCATTGTTATTAATGACATCGCCTGAAGCAAGGCAAGGTAAATGATAGATTATTGAGTTTGGGGAAAAAATGAAAGAGAAGAGAAAGACAAAGTTGGAAAGAATTTTGAAGTCATTACAGGAGCACCCTCTATTCCCTGGACCACTTCCTCTCCTGGAGACCTGGCCCCGCTGATGTCCTGCAAAGCTGAAGGACAAGATTTGCCGTTGGGGAGGCTTGGGCTCCTGGGGCAGTGCTTCCTGGTCTGTGCCCTGGACCAGCATGGAGAAAGCCATCCTAACGACCAAGTCCAGAAAGACCATAATTTTTGGTTTGTTTTTTTTTTTTTTTAAGTTTAATTTTTATCTTTACGTAATATATGTACTGCTTTAAAATATCAAATACTTCCACATGGCTTATAATAAAAAATAACAGTTCTCCAGCCCACCCCTCCCACTCCTCTGACATTTTAATCACCTACTTTTTGGATGACCCCTTATCCCTCACACCAGAGTCCGGTTTTCCAGTGAGTAAACGTTCCTTCTGCCAGAGCTGGGGAGAGAATCTGGGGCGTTAACTGCCCCCTTTTACATATCTTCAGCCGATCCTCCTGGTGTTAAGCCCACCCTGGTTGTCCACCTTCTGTGGTCCAAGGTACCTCTATTTTCTGGGCTTTTCTGGGATTCTGCAGAGCAAATTGTCTTTTGTTCCTTCCAGCTCTTCTACCATTAAGCGCTTAGGTTTTCTCCTTCTCTACTCACATTAGACATTTTTACATTATAAATTAAATTTCTTTTTTAAAAAATCAAACAAAAGAATATATACATATATTATAAAGAATACTAACAAAAAGCCTTCATATTTCAGTCTGTGGAAATTATTTTTGTGAGTGGTTTGAAATCCAATTAAATGTGTTAATAAATTAAATTTATTTCCATAAGGGCTATCCCAGCCCCATCCCTTCCCCTCTGACCTGCGGTGGCGAGTTTCTCATGCATTGTATCCCTGGCTCTAAATCTGAGCTCACAATTCTGTTCCTTAGATCTATTTGTCTTTTGCCAAAAAAAATACCAGGCTATCTTTTTCCCCCTTTGTTTTCTGCCTTCTCAGGTTTTAAATGAGCATTTCATGTTCCCATTTTACCTCTCCCAGCATATCATTTGTACTTCTTGTTAAGTTGTTGTTAGTGGTTGCCCTGTAGTTAAGAAAATACATTTTTAACTAATCCACGTCCACCTTGAAATGACACTGGATGGTTTCACATGTAGAGCAGGCGCCTTATAACCCAGTGTTCGCAGTTCCTCCCTCCCGACCCTCTGAGATTGTTGTCCATCATTTCACTCACCATCCACTATCAGTTACGTGACACGTTGTTACTGTGATTACTTTAAAACACAGCAATCTTGGGCTTCCCTGGTGGCGCAGTGGTTGAGCGTCTGCCCGCCGATGCAGGGGACACGGGTTCGTGCCCCGGTCCGGGAAGATCCCACATGCCGCGGAGCGGCTGGGCCCGTGAGCCATGGCCGCTGAGCCTGCGCGTCCGGAGCCTGTGCTCCGCAACGGGAGAGGCCACAACAGTGAGACGCCCACGTGCCGCAAAAAAAAAAAAATAAAAAACAGTAATCTTGTAGATCAATTAAGAATAAGGAAATCCCTGGCGGTCCAGTGGTTAGGACTCGATGCTTTCACTGCCGTGGCCAGGGTTCCATCCCTGGTCAGGGAACTAAGATCCCGCAAGCCAATGGGCAGGGCCAAAAAAAGAAAAGAAAAGATCTTATTTGACTTTTATTTATTCCTGCACCAATGCCCTTCCTTTCTTTATGTTTTGGGTTTTTTTTTTTTATGTTGTTTTTCTTCTGCCCGCAGATCCTCTTTTAACATGTCTCGCAGGGCAAGCCTGTTGGCCATAAATTTCTTCCATTTT